GTAATGTGGCTTTGGTGGGTGATTAATGAAACACTGTAAACAAGTCCCAACTAGAACACTGAAATACGGGAAGCGTATTGCATTCACTTGAATCATTTTATTTTTTGGTTTATTTTTAAAATTATTTTTTTCTGTTTTTTTCTGACTAATTTTTTTTAAATAATTATTTTCCTGTTTTATCAAGATAAATAATAATAATTATCAAGATACTTCGAACTCCCGTGAGAAAACCTGCAAGTGACTCCATGGACCGTATGGTGGACTCCTGCCCGCACATACATGCCCCCATCTTCAACTAATCTACCGTACCGGGCGTCAATTTTCTGTGTATATATTGCTTATGTCTAGCAGATCTGGAATTGGGCTTTTCCTTCTATTCAACAACCGTAAAATCCCTTAGGTGCCTGCGTAGAGTCAACAAACTAAGGATAATACCATCTATATGAGGGCTTAAAGACAGGACTATCTCCAAGGTGTCTAACCCTGAAACCCAGCATCAAAGGTAAAACTTGATTGAACTAAATCAAGGCGGTATGTATGTTTTCCGTTAAATCGAGCTCTCAATAAAGGAACGAAATGCGTCTGTTACTTTCTCACAGTCCATCAATTATGCTCTCTAATCTCTGAATATCTCCGGTTGAGTACTTGACTACTCCGATTACCACAACACATGCCAACATACATAGTTTCAATTCTTGCGCCAATATATTACAAGTGAATTGGAATGTTCTCAATATGTCTTGTACGGCCTAACTATTGACAAGCTGCTATTGAGTATTTGCGTCTCTACTGTATGAGATGAGTCTTGTGACATATGCACAGGTTGTGCCAGCTTGAGTGTTGGATCTAGAACAGGAGCCTCATAACGTGTGCTTTGTCCACCATCCCTTTTGCAGTAAATTGGTTGATTCCTCTAAAACATGTGGAGGTTCTCACGGGAGTTCGAAGTATCTTGATAATTATTATTATTATCTTGATAAACAGGAAAATAATTATTTAAAAAAAATTAGTCAGAAAAACAGAAAAAAATATTTTAAAAAATAAACCAAAAAATAAATGATTCAAGTGAATGCAATACGCTTCCGTATTTAGTGTTCTAGTTGGACTTTTTACAAGTGTTCATTATCACCCAAAGCACCATTACACAGTTTTTTCATATTTTATGTACAAAAGATGTCAAAATGTAGCACAATGTACTGATATTCTGATATTAAATATTAGTTTTAAAAACTTAAAAGACTAAGTTTTCCTGTGCTGAGTCATTTATGGATTCTTTTGGGAAAATATTGTTTTTGTTCACACAAGAGGATTTCAAAAACAAGGAGTAAAGGTTTTAACAAGAAGCTACAACTGATCGTGTGTATGTGTCATTTCAAAGTTTGTGGGTTTGTTGGTATTATTTAAACCTCACTAGCAAACAAGCAAAAGGAAAACCAGTACTGTTCCACATATGAAAATCACTAAAACATTAGTAAAGGTCTGGTGGTTAGAAATGTTAATTGCTCCTTCACATGCTGGTCCTTGCCTGGCAAATAATACAAGTGCTGCGTAGATAAGATCTTAAAAAATTGGCCTCCGTTTCAGACATTTCAGTGGGCTTTAAAATGATATGCCCCGCATTATAAACCACTCTTCCATGTCAGGCACAAACACAATATATGCAGTTTATGTGAGAATATTATCAGATAGTAGTTATGTTGTGGATTTTTTGTGATTTTCATTGTTTGATTTTAATAAAGAAAGAAAATGGCAAAATTGTAATTTATGGAGAAACCTTTATTGAAAATCTCAAAACAACACATTAAAGCTATAACGTCTTATGAATGCTGAGATATAACTTGATATAAACATCACACAATAATAATTCAGCATTTAATTACAGACTTCTTAAGCCAGTTTCAGCGTCTCTTTAACCATGACTCCTATTCCATCAAAGACTTTATGAAAGGGAGCATTGCACATGAATGCACAGGTGGTGACCAGCTTATTTTTGACATCAACGTGTGCTTTGTCCACATCCGTGTTGACATGTTTGCAGCCCATCTCCTTCAGAGCACCCGCAGTCTGAGCATACGGCCACCTAAAGATGAAAAGAGAGGGAAGGTTTGAGCTGTAGATTGAGATTTTCTCATAGCCATAGACATCTGATGATGACAAACTGTTTCACACACTTTTCACACTCTTTGTCCTGTCCCACAGTGAGCTCACAGCCGGGCAGGATTTTGGCAGCGAGGATGGGGGAGATGCAGCACATGCCCAGAGGCTTTCCGGCTTTGTGGAAAGCTTTGATGAGTTTCTCTAGATCTGGCTGGATGGTGCAGTCCTTACTCTTCGCTGCCCAGTCACTCAGATTCTTTGCCACGCCAAAGCCCCCTGAATGAGAGCACATGGGATTTGTTTAGCATATCACAAAAGTGGTGGTAGGGAATACAGAAAGGAATGTAAAATACTCTACGTCTGGGTCAGTCTAACCTGGGATGATAGCAGCATCAAATGCTGAAACATCTAACTCGGCCAGATCAGTCACGTTACCCCTGGCGATGCGGGCACTTTCCTGCAGGATGTTTCTTTTCTCCTCTGTAGGTTTCCCTTCACAGTGGTTTACAACATGCATCTGATCTGCATTCGGAGCAAACATTTGCACCTGAAAGGAAAAACACATAGTTCAGAGCGGCTTCTGGAGATAAGGATTGTGATTAAGCATTATGATTTAGAGTTATTAAGATCAACTGTACAATGGTCTTGTATTGTTAAATAAAAGGACAGAAACTTAGACGTGAAAGCTGCACAGTCCCTCTGAATAGGACTGGATCCAGTTTGACGTATAATAACAGATCAATGCACTGCATTAGGTTTACTTCTCTTACTTTGGCTTCAGCCCGACTCAGATGGACGAGGACAGCAGAGGCCTCGTGGATCTCTGTGCCATCATAGACTCCACATCCTGAGAGAATAACTGCAACACGCTTCACCATGGTTCCTAAAAAAACACATAAGGCCCACATGTTTAGCTAGACTCTAAAGATATATTTATATAGAATACACAACTTTTCTTTTATTTGACATCATAAAGTATTTATCCCCTATTTGTTTGCCTATCAGTTACGAAGAGTGCAGCTACTGAGCCACCTGTTGTGCCTGTTTACATAAAATATTTACATAGCCAGGTGACAAAGGAGTATCAGAAGTGCTGCTGCGGCCAGATAGTACATTTGACACCGGTAAAGTTACAGGAAGGGTTTTCAGTCTGCTGTAAAATGTACACAAGAGAGTATTTCACCACTTCCTTTTTGTTGTACTACTTTGCATTTAGTCATAACATTTTTGTTTAAAATCCACGTGTTTTTTTCTTAAAATATCAGAAGACAGCGAAGATAGATCTCACCTTGTATATGTCGCTGGTCTGGCTTTACACTGTGTGAGGTGGAGCTGTTCAGCTGAGGTGCGCTGGATGAACTCTGAAGCAGACTCTTTATGCTGTTGCTCTGCCGGTCTGTCTCCTCCCACTCCTGCTGACATCATGCACCTTACATGAACAAGGAACACTGTTAGGATAAAATGCTGATTCATTCTTCCTGTATTGAGGGAATATTGATTCAAATGACATGATTTGTTTATTTTACTGAACACATTTACTGGTAGACTACAATGCTCTATTTAAAAAAACATTTTGATAAAGATTAATGAATTAATTTATGACTATACTGAATAAATACTGAATTCAAAAAAACTGGTTCTTCAGGTGTAACAGGAACATCAGTCTTTATTTGCAGTTTATGTTTGAGGGAATGAGCTGGAGGGAAAATATATAATATAATATATAATCTATAATCCAGCCTATATAATCTATATAAACTACATAAATCACCAAATCTGTATTATATAGATTTTACTGGTTAAAAATAATAAATTAAATCATAAATTAAATATTTCCGCAATACAAGAACAATTAATGTTGATATTTGGACTAAACTGCGATTTCCAAAAATATTACCGTACAGGTGTATTTTATGTGAGTCAGCCTACATGATATCTATGCGTGAATCCTGTGTATCCTCATATGGAAATTCCCAGTTAACTCACTTTAAAAAACATAACGCTTGCGGGATCATTTTTGCAGTCGTCTATTCTTCCTCTCCTATGACGGACGTGAGGAGGTGCAGCTCCTGCTCTCAGGTTTCTCCTCCTGCGTACTGACGTCACAAACAGACGTATAAAGCGCATCCTCACGCGCCCACAGCTCCACTCCTGCGATGGCTCAGCTTCACTCCCTGCACGTGTCTGTCGGCGTACTGGGCATCTCTGGCGGTAACTTTTTATTATCATGATGATAGTTACCGCTTTTGTTTTTGTTTTTGTTTGTTTGTTTGTTTGTTTTTAGCATCTTTGGCAGTTGTATCCAGCAGTTACAATCCTTCCTGCTGTTGTTTTATTTTATATTATGTTTAGTTTAATTTTGTTATTTAATTTTTTGGAATTGCATATAAGTGTATGCTAAAAAAAAAAAAAAAGTTAAAATGTCCCTGTGTTTTGAAACCTAAAAAACGAGTAGCCAACTACCTACTGAAAGTCCAACTCTTATTCTTATTAATCATTAAATGTCATGGTGATCTGTGCTAGAAATAGATTACGTAAGATCGATCAACGATCAGTTGTAGCTTCTTGTTAAAACCTTTACTCCTTGTTTTTGAAATCCTCTTGTGTGAACAAAAACAATATTTTCCCAAAAGAATCCATAAATGACTCAGCACAGGAAAACTTAGTCTTTTAAGTTTTTAAAACTAATATTTAATATCAGAATACGTAAGTTAGATTACGTAATTAAGTTTAATACCATTTTTGTATAGGTTTTAAGCTGTCGAAACTAAAGTTAAAACCTAAAACAAGTCTAGAGCTAATAACAACTCTTTTCTTTAAATCAGTCATTACTGCTGCAGATGTTTTAGTTATTATTAATAGCTAAATAAAACATTAACACAGGGAAACTTCTCAGTTAGGCAGACGCCTGCTTGATTTTTTTAATCAAAAGTGTAACATGGTACCTAAGTTTGTTTGTTTGTTTGTTGTCAGTTACCAACAGGTCTAACAGCTAATAACAGCGTTTTGTTCTGACTTATAGGTTCTCTCCTGCTTTTGGTGAACAACTATGCCAGCTCACCTGTGAAAGACTTCATCCCCCATACTGCACTAGGGATACTGCTCCTCATCATTGCAGCCCTCTTAGCTTATGCAGGTTGGTTTTGATGAAGTTTTGTTTTATTCATTAATTTGTTGTATTGGTTGATTTGTATGTGTGTTTAAAACTCATAATCCTCCCTCCCTGCTCCCTCCTCTCTGTTTACTCTGTGTCTCTCAGGTATCCGGCGCAGTCTGTCCCACGCCCAGCTGTTTTCCTCACTGTGTCTGACTGTCTCTGCCCTGTGGTGTGGTTCAGGTCTAGTGTACATCCTGGTGGGGCAGAGGGTGTTGCAGCCCACAGAACTGAGATCCTCTCTGGTCCCAGGCCTGGCTGCATTCACCTTAGCTCTGCTTATCATAGGCAGCGTAGCAATCCTTGTAAAGAAAGCTGTTCTGTTTCTCATAGCCGTTGGCATTAGCTTAGCATGTGCCCATCAAATTGCTGGTTTGTCAGCTGCAGGTTTTGGTCAGTCTGCCACAGCTGCTAACTACCTTATTGTCTGTCTGGTGGGTGTGTACTTTGGTTTTGGACGCCTGCTCTCCATCATCACTCGTGGCAAGGTGGAACCTCCAGGAACAGGCCTGAAGAGCAAAGCTGGGCTGAAAACAGGGCAGAATCATGGGTGCAGTGATTCAGTGTCAGTAGGTCTGGTGATGAACTTGCTGTCTGCCTCTGTGCTAGCCTGTCCTCTGTTAGGTGTGGTCCCTCAGCTCTCTGTCGGTCATGTCCCCTGGTTGTGGACAGCTGGAGTCTTCCAGCTCGGCATGTGTGTCCTCTTCTACCGAGCCATGGACACACTAGCTGCTACTTTTTATGGCTTCACTGCTCTGCTGAAATTTGCAGAGGGCTACAGCGCTCTGCTATCATTCTACTCAATTCAGCCTTACTCTCCTGTTCCCTTCCCGGTTGTTTTCTCTGTGCTTTTCTCCGTCCTGGCTCTGTTCAGTTGTCAGAAGAGCTTGCTGGAGGGGCTCTACCAGTTATTCTTTGCCGCTTATTGTATCGCCATTGCAGCCCAGCCTCATGGCTTCTTCCAAGGAGGCACGCAGGGTGTACAGGGAGCCATATTTGTAATCTCTGCCGGCATGCTATTAATTACTACCTTCAATATGGTCTCCACTACAATGATTCCCACAGGGCAGGGTTACTTTACGGCTTTAGTAACCAGGATCCAGAGTCTCACTCTCAGAACCCATGATAAAGAGCTACATGCACCTCACTTGGGCTATTCCAAGTATGCAGATGCAGAGGTGTTAGGCCACGCGTGTAGTGTGCTAGCTGCTTTTGCAGTCACAGCCACAGTTGGTGACAGAAATCCTCTGTCTGTGCTTGTTCTGCCCTGGGTGGTGGTGGGTGGAGGGGCACTCCAGCTGCTCTGTGGTTCAGTAGCTTTTGCTCGAGGTAAAACCTTTGAGAGCACAGTTTTTATTTTCTATGGGATGATGTGGACAGTCTGGGGGCTGACACGATACGGCGGTCTGTACGGTGAAACCAGAAGCTTTAATGTGGCTGTCGGGATCATTAGCTTCATGCTTTTTAACGGTTTAGTGACAGTTGCGGCGCTGTTTCTAAATGTCGCCTGGTTTGCCTACGCCCTTACCTTCCAGCTCATCCTAATTAGCTTCCTGCTGGATGCAGTAGGTGCACTGCCTTATGGTTATGACATAGGAGTCACCATCATCTTTGGTCTCGTCAGTTTTTATTGTTTCCTGGCGCACATTTTTAACAGCACCTTCCAGTCCCCCCAGATCCCCTTAGGAAAACCTTTAATTAAGCTGAGTGGGGTCGGAGGAGGCGCAGATATCTGTCCACATCTACCAGCCCGCAAAGCCACGTCTGTCCAGCAGATTGCAGGTGAAAATCTAAAATAAATAAATGTTTATTTTAAAAAATACACAGTTGTTTACAAACTTAAGTCATTGTTCTTCTTCCATCTGCAGAAATCATGAAAAATGGTGGCATATGTGGAATGCCTACTGACACCGTCTATGTGCTGGTGGCAGCTTGCAACAGGCCCGAAGCAGTTGTCAAAGCTTACAAGTGAGTTTCCATTTGCATAAGTGTCCCCTTATTTGCATTCTTTTTATTGATTCTATCTCATTACTTTCTAATTGCTGTGTTTGACTTTAGGGTGAAGAAGCAGGCGCAGGACCGGCCCATGTCGATGTGGATCTCCTCCATCAAGCAGCTGGAGCCGGTGCGACACCTGCTGAGTCCTCTGCTCCTGGACTTTATGGAGGCTGCGTGGCCCTCCTCCATTAGTATGGTTATACCCAGAGGTATGTGTGTGTTTGTGGATGCATATTTGTATGTGTAACATTGTGTGTGTGGGTGCCTCATGTTACATGGCAGGGGTTTTATGAGCATCATATTGTTTTTTTGTCTCACACAGGCCCGTGGATGGACTCTTTTGGTTTAGGAGATGCTGCCAAACACATAGGGACGCCACAAAGCATTGCTATAAGAAACCCAGACTGTTCTGTTGCCACACACCTCATTAATCTAGTAAGGGCTGTGGAAAATACAAGTCTTAAGGGAATGAAACTAGAAAGCTTTAGTAAATACAACAACATATTTTCTTGTAGGTGGGGCCCATCGCTGTAACCTCAGCCAACCCTACAGGCGAGGCAGACACAACTCACCACAACCAAGTTTATGCCAAGCTGGGTGACAAGGTGAGGACAATATTTCAGTTTTATTAAACACAAGCTGCTGTTTTTATTTTTTTTGCAATAAACTACATGTGCATTTTGCTTGGTTAGGTGGATGGAGTGTTATGTGATGGCGCCTCCCCAGAGAACATTGCATCTACTGTGGTTGACTGCACCAAGATTGAAACAGGGCATATTGGTTTCTTCAGAGTGGGTCTCATTCCTAAATCTAAGGTAATATAAATATCACTTCTTGTTCTATTCATTCTGAATAAACAGTTTCAGTTAAGTATATGCTTACACTAATACCTGCTGCTTTTCTTTGTGTGCTTTGAAGGTTCTTCAAATCTTTGAAGAGGTTCAGAAGCGGCACCGACAGGGGCAGATTAATCCTGCTTTTGAGTATGATCTGTATCTGCCAGATACACAAATGGACAAAAGTTCAGAAGATGATGCAGCGGAGTCAGGAAGAGGATCTGGAAACTCAACACCATCCTCAGATTCACCTCAACAAAGTCCAGTCCTCAGAAATGAGTCATAGTATCAATGCACAGATAAAAATGCTGCCAAATGTAACATAAATTCAGATGTACGTAAAAGACGAGTATTAAACAAAAGCTTCATGCACAGATGGACATTTAATAGTTGTACAGGGACATCCCCATAAACTGTATGACAAACATGTGCTGGTGTTTTATGGTTGTCAAACTGATGTTTTTTATCATGTTTGTCATGTCTTTTGCAACTTTATATTGGTATAAAATGATGCATGAATTATATGCACACAGACTTTAATGCACTCTAATCACTTTTGATATGACTAACTAAATGACATTAATTTATGTTTTGTAATCTTTTATATACATTGTCTGTACTTTTGTCTGGAAACTAGTATTTTAAATACTTTAATGTACTGTATATACTTCTCATGATAAAATGTATATTAAATTATTTCCCAAAGCAGCTGCAATTATTTATTCAATGCTGTTTTATTATATCATTGACTGTAACTGCACATTATTGGAAATATTATTTAAAAATCTCAACTGAAAGAATGGTAATAAATGTGGCAAATGTTCAGTGTTGAATAAAACAATTAATCATGAATCACCTGATTCAAGCAGGAAATGTCTCAATATGAAAAAATAGCATTTTAGAATAATATTCAGCATTTCTCAACAAAGTAAAGGTAAAAAAGTTCAAATGATCTATGAACAGCAGAGTAAAATGTGCAGTTCATGCACTGAAGGAAACACACTGTTTTTGTACTTTTAATTAGTTTAAAACCCCAGCACACCCAAAGTCACACATTTTTACTCATGTTGCCTGATTAGCCCTCTTCTCAAGAGTGCAGTATGAGCATGTTCAGAAACTCTACTGATAGCTTTGTTGCCAATTTTAGGGCTGTTATTATTGCTGTTAGTTCATAGAGTTGTAATTAGCCAGAGTATTTGAAAACACCTGTGTGGGTGTTTAACATAGAAATACTAAAATTAATTTCATGAAAAGGGTATCAACCAGTTTTGCACAGAATTTACAAAGTTACAAAAGTGATGAAAAGACCACATGATAAAATGTCCATCATTTGTGAAGATGGACATCTTGACGATAAATTTCGTCACCCATAATTTTCAATACAGACAGTCTTCTATCACTTTCAAAATAAATACAATATATCGACCTCTCCTCTCTTTCCTTGGAAGAGGAGTGTGTAACCACTGAGTTGTGATCTGCAAATACACAGTTAGATAACACTAAATCCAACACACTGGACCTTTAATGCAACTGGAGAGATTTCCTGAATTTAAAGGAAGGGTTCAAAATTCACATGGGTTTCTGCCGGGTGCTCCGGTTTTCTTCCCACCACATGACATGCATGTTAGGCTTAATACTTCCCTACAATTCATCTTTTTCTTCTTCTATCATGACAGGAGGATGATGAAGCCATAAGCTCATCGAGATGTTGCCTCACCTTTAGTCTCGACCCCCAGGTTGCTAGCCACTTAACCCCGTTCATCCCTCTATGTAATCGATCACCTTGATCTGCTTCATCCCTCTTCTCGAACCCCCTTCATCCCTTTACTCGACCCCCTTCATCCCCCTTCTCAACCCGATATCAATCTGAGTAAATTACTTTTTATACCACATGACTGCCGCGGTCTTTGCATTAGGAAGGGCCTTCTTAATGGCCACTAACAGGAAAAATTATTCCAGTAAGCCTACCTGTTCCATTGTTCAGGTACCTGACTATTATTTTCAGACAGACTTGAAAAATTGAGAACATATCCTTTAAGTTCAGGTATCTAACGTCAGGCAATCCACTGTTAGGTGAGCCCTGTCTATAATGTCTAAAATAATGAAACCTAATACTCTTTCCTATTTCCTTCTTCAGAAATGTTTAGCAATCTGTTTCAGCCTACGTCAGTAAACGTTTTTAATAATCACTTACTGTATTTTCTAAAAATGCGGACAGTTTCAGGGAGTATTTGCGTAAACACAGAACAGAAGACAGTGGCTGTGAAGCAGGGTAGAAAATATTAGCGCCCAGAACCTCAGACTGTAGCTTCTCAGTAACTACAGTGATTTTATCAGTCAGGTTTTGGGGAAATGTAATGCAAGTATGTGTGTGTATGTTGAATATCCAACCACTTCTTTCATTTTCATTTTTGTGCTGCTGTGTTTCACTTTCACCAAAATATGACTAAGCATCTTGTTCTCAAGCCACTGCTTGTGCATGTAGCTCCCCTCCTTCAGGAAGGGCATGAATAAACACCACCTACATAGATTTTAAAGCTCTTTCCCACTCCTAAATGTTTCCTGATAATAAGTTACTCAGTAAGAGCAGTGGTTTTTGTTTCAACATAAGCCGATATTCATTCTTTAAACAATGAAAGAAAAACCTGTTGATTGTCAGTTGACAGGTTGCCAGGATGACATATATGAAAAAACAATGTACTTATTGTTACAGATCTACAGTCTTCAATAAAAGGGTATTGTCTTCTGATAAGATTTTAAAGA